GAAAGTATGAGATTTGGACCCACCCCGAATACAAGTTTTCTGTGTTCTTATACTCAATTTACTTCAATTTCTCTATTTCCAGGAGCCAAAAATTAAGAGAATTAAGATTTATAGACTCTATCCTGTCTTATAGTTATATATGTCTCTAGCTATAGACCCTGTCTGTCATATGTTATGTAATTACATATGGCACTCTTATTAAAGTTGTTTGCTCATGAAAAAAAACTTATTTTACCTACTACTTCCTAGGGTTCTTCCTATCCATGAACAGATTTGACTACCACCTCCATGAGAAAGGCTGTTTAGCAAAGCACTGCTCAGCATTTGATGGAGGCAGCACTTGCAAAAACAATAATGTTACAAATTGTACAATTCAAGTTCCTAGACATACAGATACAGAAACCCAACCATCCTTATGAGAAACTCATCTATGATTTCCCTAGCACTTGCCAGTACTAACTGTATTTGTCTTTGGTAACATTTCAAGAGATATACTGTGGTGTCAAATTAAACAATAATTTTCAAAGTCAAATGCACAGAAGTCCATGTCTTTTTCTCCCGTTGTGGTCTTCATTCACTGGCACTAGAGTACTGGAAAGTTCAAAATGGCCATCCCAGAATTTCAGTAGTAGTATATATTTTTACCAGTCACAGCAAATTGCCTCCATGTTCAATTGCTGGCTAGCAAAAAGTGTGCATATATGCTGTTATCTTACAAATGACCAAAACCCTCAGAGTCTTCTGAAGAAGCAATTTTTGCAAGTTTAAATCGATGTGTTCATCTGGAACTGAAAAAGTCATGGGAACCTGGTTTCTGCTCAGGTTAGCATCTTTATCATCCCCACATAACATTCAACAGTGGCTATTTACACACGCTACCTTCAGCAGTGGTGCAGTATCATCTATGCAGGTGTTGAGTGACAGGTGCAGGTATCATTAACACAACATTTTCTCCTGTTAAAATAACAGGACCAGGATCTAAAAATCCCATGCCCAATTGGAAATTTCTTTTCTAGACATAGAGCTGTTTTTGTTTGTTTTGCCAACACTCCCTTGCAAATTAATCACTTCATGACATTTTGAAGGCCTCACCTAAAGGCCCTTCAACCTTCAGGGGTGACTTTTGGCAAAAGGCAATGCAGCATTCACTCCACATCCCTTTAAATCCCACTGAAATAGATGGGATATTAAGGTAAAATTAAAAAGGCAAATGTTGGAAACTTAGGGGAATTGCAGCATAGTGTCTTGATACCCATCTATAGGGGCTCCTATATACTGTTGAACAGAACATTGTTTAACAGCACCAGAACATAATGTGGCAGATAAAGCAAAGGCTCAAAATGGTTCAGAAATAGAAGGCAATATTTGATTGTTAGACTATGACTCTGGAGAGCAGGGTTTGAGCCTCCATTTGACCAAGAAAACCCATGGGTGACCTTGAACAAGTCAAAAGTCTCTCAGCCTCAGAGGATAGCAATGACAAACCCCCTCTGCAGAAATCTGCCAAAAATACCCTTTGATAGGTTTGCCTTAGGGTCACTGCAAGTCAGAAATGACTTGAAGGCATACAACAACAACACTATACGCCAGGGGTAGGCACCCTTTCTCCTTTAAGGGCCAAAGGACTTCAGCTCCCAGAATCCCAGGAGCTATTGGCCAACATGGGACTACTGGCCAACATGGCTGAGGCTTCTGGGAGCTGAAGTCCCTTGGCCCTTAAAGGGGAAAGGTTGCCTAACCTTGCTATACTCAATAGTGCAGAAATAGGCTTCTGTTCAAGCAGAGGGGTTTCCCTCTTCTCCTACCCTTCAAGCTGCTGCTGGAGGGGGGGGGGTCACCTCAATCTTCCTGAGCAGAAGAGGGGATGGGAATCCATTCCACCAGCACTATCTACTGGTGGTCAGACAAAATTGGATGCAACCCGTGTAGCACATTTTTGGGACAGGAGTGGTGAAAATGTGGTTTCCCAGGCCCCAAGTCTCCAGACCCTTAATTGGCCCTGGTGACCCCAAAGCCCTCCAAACCCATTTTTAAAAATCCTACCAATTTTCAGGCACTATTCCACCCCCAAACCAGCCAAAATGGTGGTCTTTGGAGTCTTTGGAGCTAAATAAATACTAGGAAGGCCCTGGGAAATCACCAAGAAATTTCTCCCAATTGCTTTCTACCATGCAGTCCTCACAAAAAGTGTACTATATTGACATAGCATCCCAAAAAAATTCCAGCTAATGTCCTTTATTTATATATTAGATGATAATGTGTGTGCATCTGCCTTCAAGTCACCTGTCAACTTATGGCAATCCCATAACAGGGTTTTCTTAGGCAAGGAATACTCAGAGATGGTTTTGCCAGCTCCTTCCTATAAAATATAGGCCACAGCATCTGGTATTCTTTGGCAATCTCCCTACCAAGTACTCAACAGGGCTGAGCCTGCTTAGCTTCCAAGATCAGACAGGATTTGGTGCCTTCAGGGTATTTAGGCCCTACCATTAGATGATAATACAAGGTAGCATTGATTTAGTCACAGGCATCTTTTTGAAACATAAACTGAATTGGATATTTTCTGCTCCTGTTCTTCGCCCTACCCCTTCTTCACAGATATGTTATTTAGTGGCCCTTCAATAAGCAGTTTCAATATACCATAGTAGGAAATGTAAACTCCTCTCACCCCAATTTTCTATAAGTGTGTTCTATGTTCAGAAGGGACTGCCATGCATTGGTAGGAGGGGAGGGAGAGCCAAATATATTTAAACCACTGACCAGACCAAAGTTTGCACGGATTTCTCATATGAAGATATGTTTAGTACTGGAAAAAAGTATGCTCCTGAAACAAACTTTGCAAGCTGCTCCTTTTGGTTTTATAAGGTTTCTCACCATTTTATTTCGCTATGCTAAGTAAACAGATCTATCCCTTGCTCTTGTTTTCTCAACTTGATGCTGTCCTTCATTAACACCTGTCCCCATTTCTCACCAACTTATCACTGCAATCATATTCTCCCACCACCACTTATGATCTCTATCACAGGACTCATTCTGCACAGGCTGCTTCATATTTGCCTATATTTCCCCATTTCTCTTTTCCTTGATACCATCTGCACTTGCTTTAAATAAATAACCCTTTGAGTCTACAGGCAGTTTTTCATTCCTCATATACTATCACTACACAGAGAAAAAATAAAACAAACTGTTTGTTGTTGTTGTTAACTACCCTTAAAGTCAGCCCCGACTCATGGTGACTCTGACTCTTCTCCAAGCCTCCCTGCTCTGCTAAGGACCTGCATGCTCAGGCCCACGGCCTCCTTGATTAAGTCCATCCATATGGCATGCAGTCTTCCTCTCTTTCTACTGCCTTCCACCTTCCCCGCATTATCGCTTTTTCTAGTGAGTTGTGTTTTCTCATGATGTGGCCAAAGTAGGACAGCTTAAGTTTGGTCACCTTGGCTTCCAGGGAGAGTTCAGGTTTAATCTATTTAAGGACCCATTTATTTGTCCTCAGAGCCCTTCTCCAACACCACATCTCAAATGAGTTGATCTTCTTTCTATCAGGTTTCTTATTGTCCAGCTCTCACTTCCCTACATGGGGAATACAATGATTTGGATGATTCTACACAATCACTATTAAACAATACTAAGGATTCTGCTCCTTGAAATTAAGTCTAGACAAAACCAACTCTCAGGTCTTCCTGCTTCACCTGTGTAATTCCGTATCTTGATGTTTCAGAATTGCACTGTATATCATTTTTTAAAAAAGTAATTAACAAACTCTATGAAATGTTATTTACCTGACAGAGATTGCAGAAATCAAAATGAACATAACACTCGTCAGGTGTTATGGATCTCTGTTTCTGATTTGTGTTATTGGACTCTCTTGCTGACCTTCATCCCACTCTATATGCAAAGTGTATGATGAGCCTAGGTTCTGCCCCATCATGCCATGAAACATGGCACCAAAACATTGGCAAGATAGAGATAGGCCACTGTGCTGCCCCTCTGCCAACAATCCACATCACTTCCTTCTTTGTAATCAGAGGGTGCAAACAAATCCTAGGGGCTGTGTGGTTCAAAACCCTGTTGATGCAAGAATCCACATGAAAGCACCCCTGAGAGGGGGCCATCTAACCTCTGTTTACAATGACTCTTCCTATTGCTTGGCCATTTAGCATTTGTCATCGCCTAATTTTAAGGGAAGACTTCCTAAAAATGTCTTCATCCCTCTTACCTCCTGCTGTTGACTCAGAATATCCCCCTTTGGCATAGACTTCCTCTCTTTTGTTCAGCTTTTATTTATTCCTTTTTATTATTCCCTTGTAATCACTTCTCTTTTTTGGCATGAATGTCATTCATACTAGTTTGCACCCCTTCAAAATGCATGTCACTCATTTGTGCGTCGTCGGTGATACAAGTGGCAACATGGTGAGGACGAGGCTGTTGCTCTTTTTTGGAAGCCATCATCAGCCTTGGGGAAGGGAGGAAAATTGGGGGTCTGTGCCCTCCTTTTTGCAAGCCATGAGCCTTGGGGAAAGTCATGGGGAAGGGAGGAAAATTGCCAGTAGATCACACTGCAAAGCAAAGGGAGGACTGAGAGGGAGAAAAATTACTGATTTCCCCAAAACTGAGGCAGGATGGTAAACACCCATATGCCATTAGTCATCATTCCCACCGGTTGGATACCCTTCTGAATCAGCTCTTTTCAAAGGAACTGCCAAGAAACTACTGTCAGAAAAGAGTGTGTTTTTTTTTTATTTGCCTCACTTCATCATGACGGAAACCGAGCTCAATAGGATCGAAACTGGTTTCAAGTGGGGACGAAGTACATATAACCCGATCAGCAATTTGAGTTAAATCATCATGGGAACGAGGCGTTAGTTTCATGCACCTCACTTTTGCTCCTGTTCCCCTGGTTTATTTAACTTGATCAGATATTGCAGTTATGCAATTTAGTAAATGTGGGTTGTAGAATTAAAGAATTAGTCACAGGTAGATGTTCCAGGTATAAAACCGGCATGGTGTAGTGGTTTGAGTGTTGGACTACAACTCTGGAGGCCAGGTTTCAAATTCCTGCTCAGCCATGGAAACCCACTGGGTGACCTTGGGCAAATCACACACTCTCAGTCTTGGAGGAAGGCAAAGGCAAACCCCTTCTGAACAAATCTTGGCAAGAAAAGCCCATGATAGGTTTGCCTTACGGTCTCCATAGGTCAGAAACTACTTGAAAGCACACAACGAAACAACAACGTGTTGCAGGTATTCGATCAATATTCAGGGACAAAGAAGCAATGGGTGGTTCGGTTTCTAAACAAGTAAAACAACCTTCTGGATGGGCCACAGCTTGCAGTTGCAAGCACCAACCTTCAGTATGGTTTGACAAACATTAAAAAGCCCACAGGAATCCTATTTGCCAGAAATGGAATCCCGAACCCACTAGGTTGTATGGACCACAACAGTTGTTTTTAGGTAGAAAAAAAAAAAAGCTGGTGCTGCAGAAGCACCTTATAGTGAGTATGACTCTTTTAGTAATTTGGCCTATGGTTCTTTGAAGCACATTCTGTTCCCATTCATTTAACCAGCTTGGAAAGTCTATTTTTAGCTACAGTCAGTTAGGATTTCCTTTATCAAGTAACTATTTCACTAAAAGGATCATTTACTAGTTTTACTGCTATGCTGTAGTAGCAAACTAAAAACATCCCTCTCCCATGCTGTTATTGGGGTTTAATGCCAGCCTTGCCAAATTCAGCGTGGGTACGCTTCTGCTGAAGCTGCAGAAATCAAAGTTCTCTTCAAGCCCTGTCAAGATATTCCAAAGAGGCACAAAGGCATCCGCTCCATGTAAATGCTACTTGTCTAATGATTACAAGATAACCAAGGAGTGTGGAGGAGGGTGGCCATTATTATAGGAGAATGGTCTCCTGTCGTTTTGGATATGCCTGTGCAAAAGTCTAATGTATTTTTAAAGCAGGTAGCTGTATCCCTGTGAAAACATTTTTTAATACTATTGGAATAGCGTGGCTTGAAGATCTGTATCTGTACCGCAAATACTAATGCAGTGACACAATTCCTGTTTGTACAATAATTACTGAACAGAACTGAAACTTTTAAACATGTTTCCAGCCCACGTCAATAGATTTAGGAAATTGGCTGCTTCATAATGGACCAGATGCAAATGACGCTTAACCTTTCTAACACAGATATAAAAAATGCACAACAGTGACATGGGAAAAACTCATATTGAAACACTTTCTGCTAGAGATAAGTATGCATTTTGTGCAGTTGGCATTTTGTTACTTAGAGGCAAAAAGGTACTTTACTTTACTATACAGGGCACCATCTTACTTTTTCTCAGTATGTTGTCACTTTACTTCTTTTACTAGTTCCATATCCAATTTTTCGTGTGTGGGGGGGCCTTGACAAGTGAAATTTGATTACTTCTCCTAGTTTACCTGTTTAGTTGATGCATGTCAGGCTAATGTTAAAATTTCAGGGAGCGGGGCTAACATGAAAGAATTAAGAATTAATCCACTAGCGAGATGGATTTCTTTAAACCACAGAGGATTTAACAGCTATGGATGTGTCTTTTTTATTTTATTTTATTTTATTTTTATTCCTCCTTTCTCCCAAAACATATTAAAACAACATTTTTAAAAACAATTAAAATAGCCTAACTAAAACAGTAAAAAGTTAAAAATTTCCATCTAGTGAGACCTCTAAAATAAAAACCACATTAACTTTCAAGATTATCTGTCAAATGGGAAAAAGCCATGTGGTCCCAAACCTCCATTTTGTGGGCCCATTGGTATCTCATTCTATATCTGAATGAGTTGTTTTCTCACCCAAAATCACTGCTGTGATTTGTCAATAAATTACCAATGCAAACTGCAGTGTTCACAAGCAGTTCTCAAGTAAAAGAAAGGAACCTTTGAGGAGCTATTAAAATCACCTCCCTCGGCTTGCATCAGACACAGAAGAAAACAGGCTGTTGTTGCTATAGCCTATTTGATGACAGCTCCCATCTTTGCCCCACAGATGTGGGTGTATCCTGACTTCCTCAGCCAACACAAGTGATTTCCCCAGGTGCCCCTGCTCTTCCCACATAGCCTGACTCAGAAGACCCACAGCTGGTCAGGAAGTCCTATCTAGCAGATCTATCTAGCAGATCTGGCAGTGGTGATGATGGCATTTTTCTCCTTGTCTTCCAATACAGGCATACAGATGTGTTGTCTACTTCTGAAGCAGAAAGGAGTCTCTACTGAATTGTACTGTACTGCCTTGCTGTATATAGACATGCCCACCATCACTGTATATATGTGTGATTCCCAAACTTTGGACATTTTGAACTTCAGCTCTCAGAATTCCTAAAAACTGGCCACAGTTTTTTAACCACAAAAAATCATACCCTCCTACCCCTTGAAAAAACCTACTACTAAATTAAAACAAAACAAAAGTGTAACCCTTGAGCACTTCAGCAACATGGAAAATAGTTACCAAATCTCTTCACAGCTTTGCACCCCACCTTTAAAGCATAACTCTCTTTTTAGATCAAGATCAAGTCTTCCCCTAATTTGACTGGTTATTATCTTCTGAAGTTTTCCAATGATACTACAAGGTAATAAGAACTGACTGCAGATGAATTTAATCCCGTATTGAATCTATTTCCTAATTTTGGTGGTAGAGGTAAGGAAAGAGGAGAGAGGTCACAATGCTAGCATTTCAATAAGCACATGATCAGCCATGGGCTTCAAGTTACATTTGCAATGCGGGACTGTTCCTATGTCTTTTGAAGGAATATCTTATTTTCCTCCTGTATAACTTGCCCATGGAAGAATTTAAATCAGTCGATTGTCTCAAACATAGTTCTTGGAAACAAGTTGCTCTATACACACTTCTGGGGGAGATGAAACATAGCCCTGAATCTTATCCATAATGCTATTTAGAGTTAGTCCATTGAACCAGTTGCTGAATGGTAAGTCACCACCTAGGTAAATCTCACTGATTACGTATGTTCCTACTAACTGGGGCTCAAAACGATTCTGAGGTTTATACAAAATTTACCTATAATAGGTTTATACAAACCTACTGTCAAAGGTTTGTATAAACACTAGTGATTCCCTATCCCACCCTAGCCCCCCAAAAACCAATGGCAATATGATTCATCTGACCCCAGTTATGTAACAAATAATTACATAGTCAATTGCTTCAGATGAAAGTAGTATTTATGTTTTTCTAAACTGGGGTCATAAATTTAAACACACCAGTTAAAAACATAGCATTCATTTCAATATGCCTGTGCCACAACCACCTTTTATCATTCTGCAGGATCTCCACATGAGCATTCCTTTTATTCCATAAAAATGGTATGCTGCATTTTAAGGGTAAAAATATCCTCAAGGTGTTTTCAAGTACTCAAGAACACTTGAACAGCAAAACATTTCAAAACCCAAATAATAAGTAATAAAAACTAGCAAATAAAACTAAAACAACCAGCCAAATACAACCATTAAAATCAAGTAACTGTCACAGAGAAAATCATTTTGACTTGGTAGCTGCTTTAGAGAATAATTCTCAGAAAAGTAATTGAAAATGAATACATTTTTAAAGGCTCATCAAGGTCTGTGAAGAAGAAGCCTGATGGCTACCAACCTGGATGGCTTCAAATTTTTGTATTCATAATATTCATGACAAGAACATTTTTTTTAACTTTTCTTCCAACTTGGTCTCAGATATATTATCATGACTTGTTATCTTTCCAAAAATGTAAGAACTCTCAGAATTCTTACAAAGGCTAAAATGCCTAGTTCATGACAAACAGAAGAGAACCACTGAATCAATGGGATTTACATAATGGTTGATTTATTCTTAAACAATTAATTGCATAAGTCTAATTCTAGTAAGCACTATCAGTTTGTTTTCAGCAAAGGACTTTTAGGCTGGACAAGTTCTACACTGCTGACAGAGTGACCAGATGGCTTACAGGTATCAGAAAACAGTGCCACAAGTCCTGTAACAGTTAAATGGCCAGAAAGATACCATGATTAATGGAATTGCATGCTGCTGAAATGACAAGCAGAATCAGTAGTAACACTCCCCTTAGGCTATTTCCAACCAGTCACCAAGGTGCCCAAAGCTGTTTCCATCCACAAACTAAGCATGTACCCAGAATGGAATGGATCCAAATAATTCATCCAAAAAAGCCTAGAATTGCACTGACACCACTTGAAGACATTACTTTTAAAAGGAAATTGGAAATAGGCCAATAATTATCTAGCATGGTGGAACCTACATAGTTGTATACTTGTGCAAAGTATTAAAAGACCATAGTCCGCATACTCATAGAATCACAGAGTTGGAAGAGACCACAAGGGCCATCCAGTCCAACTCCTTGCCATGCAGGAAGACATAATCAAAGAATTCCTGACAGATGGCCATACATAAGATGTATTCTTATACACAGATACTACACACAAATGGCATTCCAGCATGTGACTGGTACTAACAGATATTTTGTGCTTCCCTCTCTCTCCATTAACATTTTATGATGTGGTTACAAGAAGAAGACATCTTGACTTTTTTCTTTTATACTGCATTGTGAAGATTACTGAATTGGTATGCGGCCTGACTCTTTACTTCTTGGGAACCAGTTCTGTTCACATCTCTTCCTCAAAGACTCTTCCTCACCTTTTGTTTCTTTTCTCAGGCATATTCAATCACTTGAATTTGCCTGTCTATGGTGCTGGTTGTCCAACCTTATTTCCAATTATTTCTGTTTGTAAAATTGGTTGGGCAATCCATTTTATCCTTAACTTAAGCAAAAAATATCTTGGATCAGCCTTAGTTATTTCAATTCACAATGGAAGCCACTTGAAAAGCAAGTCTATAATGGGTATGGTGAGAATGGTTACAACTATGTTGGAAGATTATTCACACAAACAGCTTGCAGAAAGGAAATCTGCAGTGGCTCATATGGATGTCTCCACTTGTTTATTTATCTGATTGTGCATTGGGTCTTTTTTTTCAAAAATTGATATTTTGACACCATCCTTCAATCAAGTTCCCAAAATGGGCTTGAAGAAGCTCT